TGGAGGCCGACACAAAACAATACAATCAATATGTCGAAGCTTACGTAAAGGCAGATTTCTCACAAACAGGTTATTTGACGCCTTTGGAAATTTCCTGTTAGACTTGATGTATGACTCGCTGTCGTGTTTATGTAAGACATGGTAGTCACGACAGAGAAGCCTTCCAACCATGCCGAGCCCGTGTCTTGTCCGGTCCCTGTTTACATAAGTTGTTATGTGAATTCCTGAGAGTGGTACGAGTTCCATCAACCTGACACTGCCCACCAGTCAATGTGTTTGAGTTTTTAATAATCAAAACTTGACATATTACGTCAGCACTATAGTGAGTGAAAATGGCTTTACGCCGCTTTCGTTAACATTGAACACCAACAATTGGATTCACACCTTGAACCCATGGGTAATCGAGTCAGTGAGTCTGGTTTTACGCCGCTTTTAGAAATTTTCCAGCAATATCACGGTGGAGGGCAGCAAAGATTGGCTTCACACATTGTCCCCATGGGTAATCGAGTGAGTGAGTCAGTGAGTCTGGTTTTACGCCGCTTTTAGAAATTGTCCAGCAATATCACGGCGGAGGGCAGCAGAGATTGGCTTCACACATTGTCCCCATGGGTAATCGAGTGAGTGAGTCAGTGAGTCTGGTTTTACGCCGCTTTTAGAAATTTTCCAGCAGTATCACGGCGGAGGGCAGCAGAGATTGGCTTCACACATTGTCCCCATGGGTAATCGAGTGAGTGAGTCAGTGAGTCTTTTTTTACGCCGCTTTTAGACATTTTCCAGCAATATCACGGTGGAGGGCAGCAGAAATGGGCTTCACACATTGTCCCCATGGGTAATCGAGTGGGTGAGTCAGTGAGTATGGTTTTACGCCGCTTTTAGAAATTTTCCAGCAGTATCACGGCGGAGGGCAGCAGAGATTGGCTTCACACATTGTCCCCATGGGTAATCGAGTGAGTGAGTCAGTGAGTCTGGTTTTACGCCGCTTTTAGAAATTGTCCAGCAGTATCACGGCGGAGGGCAGCAGAAATGGGCTTCACACATTGTCCCCATGGGTAATCGAGTGAGTGAGTCAGTGAGTATGGTTTTACGCCGCTTTTAGAAATTGTCCAGCAATATCACGGCGGAGGGCAGCAGAGATTGGCTTCACACATTGTCCCCATGGGTAATCGAGTGAGTGAGTCAGTGAGTCTGGTTTTACGCCGCTTTTAGAAATTTTCCAGCAGTATCACGGCGGAGGGCACCAGAAATGGGCTTGACAAATCGTACCCATGTCGGGAATCGAACCCGGGCTTTCGACGTGACCAGCGAACGCTTTGACAACTAAAGCATCCAACCACCCCAAAATTTGAGTGACCGTTTTTTTTTTTTAAAATACCTCGCGAGAATTCTGTGCTGCAGTCTGTTCCAAGTACATGATGTTTAACGCCCCTTTTAGCAACATTCCAGCAATATCACGACGTGGGACACCAAAAATGGGCTTCACACATTGTACCATTATCGGGAAGCGACCCCGGGTTTTGGGCATGACGAGCGAACATTTTAACCACTTACCCACAGACCCCGTCACGCCGAAGACCCGGGTTCGTTTCCCCACATGGGTACAATGTGTGAAGCCCATATCTGGTGTCCCCCGAAGTAATATTGCTGGAGTGCTAAAAGCGGCATAAAAACATTCTCACTCACTCAAAACGGCTTCCAACCGATACCAATTCATCAGTTAAGGTGCTTCAACAAAAACACTTCTATAACTCACAAAAGAGAGTTTATTTTGATATAGTTTATTTAAAGTATCGTAATTTCCCTTTGACATCGTTGAAGACCTATACGTAAGCTATTCATATATACAGTATATCATACAAATATGAATACAGAACTGAACAATATATATAATTCCATACCAAACACCCATAGAAGCGACTTTAACTTGGAAACATTCTTCTTAAATAAACTCCATAATCGTTATGAACACACATTGAAAGTGGTCAAATGCAACAAATGTTTCTTAGTAAAGTACAGATTCTCGTACTTTTTTTTGGGATTCGAACCCACACTGCAAAGAGTGAGGCACCTAATCGCCAGCACACAAAGTCGGCGATCTAACCCACTCAGCCATCGAGGCTTTTACAAAAATGAAATTCCGACAACTGGTAGTCTAGATCACGGACTTTGTGTACCCCTCTGACAAGTGTAAATTGGCACGGCTCCCATGGCCTAGAGCAATGAACACACAATGCCATTTAGAAAGTGGTCAAATGTAACAAATGTTTTTTTACTAAGAAAGTGTCATCCCAAATATAACATTTGTTCCACAATCGTTAACTTGAAAACCATTAAAACTTGTTCATTATTTTTTGTACTGATACCTTGAAATACAAATGAGCAAATAAATCATTGTTATTTAGTTTTCACATAAACATATGTCCTTTTGGACCTTGTAAAGTTTTTCATTTTATTTTTCATAGATGTCTTTCCCTATTAAATGATTCACCATTGTGGCATCACTTTCCTCCCACATTTAGCTGACACGCCGCGATGCTGACACGCCGCCATATAACTGGAAAACTGGTAAAAGCGGCGTTAAACCCAACTCACTCGTTTCAAATGAGTACAAATATATACCACTGCTGACTCATCAAGCAAGTTTCCCCGAACAATAACCTGTTTTATAAGAGGGTCTAGACTTGAGCTTTCAGGGATTCTAGCATTTGTTTTGAGTGAGTGAGTGAGTTTGATTTTACGCCACTTTCAACCGTATTTCAGTTATTTCACGGTGTGTCAGCCTGATGTAGAAAGAAAGCCCGAAGTGATGCAGGCCGTATAAGCCTATCACTTTCGTGAAACCCACGAGAACAAACCTATCATAATCCGGGCGACCCGCGATTCGAAACCACAATCACTGGCTGCTTATAAATATAAGGGAGGTAACTCGAATTACGATGCCTTAAACGATTGTGCCATCCGTGCCCCAAACGTGTTCCTCAAATCAGCAAAGCCAAGAGTATGATAACTTAACCATCATAACGTACATCAATCTTGTAACACTGATTACAAAGTCTGAATTTATTCCGGTTGCATAGAGCTAGCCCACCGAGGTACCATGTTGCAGTTTAACATGGATACCCCACTCACACGCAGAATACTGACTCAGAGCCGACCAGGTTCTTCTTATCTCCTTAGCCCCGAGCTCCAGGCAGGGTAACAACAAGTACAGTCTTTTAACGTCTTTCAATATGGCGCGGTCAGGTGATCGAACCCGATCCTTCCGCCCTCTAGGCAGACGTTCTATCCACTATTTAGCTGTGTGTCTATATTTCCCCTGATAAACAACAGAAAATATGTTGTGTGTATTAACGACATGCTAATAACGTTCAGTGAAAAAACGATATACAATTACATATCAAATGCGAAGTTTCATGTACAATGTCGAAACGCATATGAAAATACATTTTTCGAAATATTTACAAAGCACCATCAGGTCACAAAGGTCACACGTATTATTGTAACTAACAAAAGCAAATTTCTGTCACTAATGTTTAGATATACAGTAAACTACGGTTATAACGAACTCAAAGGGACCACTAATTTTAATTCGTTATAACCGTACTTCGTTATAAGCAAATATACGTAATATATACAGCAGATAGACAGGACCAAAACAATAGTTCGTTACATCCGTCAGTTCGTTATAAGCGTGTTCGTTATAACCGTAGTTTACTGTATACATAAATATACATTATATATTACTCAACGTTTGCAGAGAACCAGCGTCTTTAGTCAAAGGTGTGGTCCTTAGCAAATGTTGAGCAGTGTATGTAAATTAAACTGAGCGGCAATAGAAAGTATACTGAGTTTGAATTTATATAATTCTAAATTGAAAGATCGGTTGTTAAATTTGATAATGGTACATTTAACCATCACTCATTCCTGCAACAGTTTGTAGAAAGTAATGTCTGGTACTTTTGTGTAAACACAAACTGGTCAAATGAAGACTTGGGTAAGAAATATATTTGCAACCACGTGACCCCTATCATGTTTGAAGTGTTGTAAATGTGTGCCAATAAGATTGATGGATTTTAAAAGATAACGTGCCTAAGACACCCATCAGCAGTTGTGTATAATGCAATTTTTTAAAGCTATTTTTTTAAACAATCAAATTATGTTATAAAAAATAAAACCACGGTGAAATATTCTTTAAACGCTAAGCGCCAGTACAGTTCATGTTAGATATACTATTGCTAACTTAAGGTTGCTTCTGTTGAAAGTCAAACATATGGAAAAATCAACCGAGAGATATTGTTTCTGTTGCCTCTCATTACATAGCACATATGATCCCTCAACAAGGCTTGTCTGTAACATATGCCCATTTCTATAAACGTGCATTTGACAAACACATATATACCAATTATACATATTAGATTACCTTCAGCTTTAATCAAAATAAAACATATAAAAAATGTGAATGTATTTTTAAAGCTGTTTGAGATAGAAATGTGAAATAAAATAATATAATAATTATATGGGACTATATTGATACTACATACATGTATACACTACATGAATATACTCGTGAATGTATGATACTGGCGCGAATACAACAGTAAATAAGATAATACACCGCAAAACGCGGTTTTGTCGACTTTTAGGGGAAAGTAATCGAATGCCACGGATTTGTACGTCAAGCACTTTGGTTGATTCAAATATTGGTTTCAGCTCGGAGTGAGTGAGTTGTCCCATCTCATCGTATCAGACATGTTCCAGATATTGAGGGACGTGAATAAGTGTAATGAGTGAGTGAGTTGTGTTTTCCGTTGCTTCGAAAAGTTTCCACGGGATGTCAGCTAAGTGTGGGCGAAATACATGTTTGTTTTGTTTGTTTGTTGTTTAAAGCCGCACTCAGCTATAGTCCAGCAATATGACGACGGTCTATAAATAATCGAGTCTGGACCAGACAATCCAGTGATTGACATCATGAGCACCGATCTATGCGATTGGAGGCGATAACATGCATCAACCAAGTCAGCGAGCCTGACCACCCGATCCCGTTAGTCGCCGCTTACGACAAGTATAGTCGCCTCTTACGACAAGCATGGGTTGCTGAAGACCTGAGTGCCCTTGTACAGAGCGATCTTATCGCCAAGGTGATCGTAACTCCCATACCCTAACATAGACTTACGACAGTCGTAGCGCTAAGGTTGTTTTGTACAAGCGTACCCTATTCTCTCCCCGGATCTTCAGTGGTCGAAATACTCAAGTGATGCAGGTTTTAGACGTTCGGGGTATTGACGACGCTTAAGAAAGATTATACGCTCCTTGAAAACGTGCGAACAATTGTCATTAAGAATGTGATTTTTATGTTATAACATTTATTCCGATATGTATACAGTAAACTACGGTTATAACGAACTCGAAGAGACCACATAATTTAATTTGTAACAACTGTCGTCGTTATAAGCATATATACAGAATTTATACAACAAATGGTCGGGACTAAAAATAAGTTCGTTATATCGTTCAGTTCGTTATAAGCGAGTTCGTTATAACCGTAGTTTACTGTATTTCAAAATATACATGAAATGAGGCTGACGGTGGGGAAAATGTGAAACATGCAGATATTTTCCATATGTTGAAGAGGATGTTTACAGTGCTTTGGCTTTAGCTTATATGACGGATGATATAACACAAAAGAGAATATCCCACTGAATGCAAAATTATACGTATTTGTGTTTGGGATGTCGTGTGATGCCATTGAACATTAATTTAGTTATAAAAGTGTCAGCTGGATGTGGGAGGAAAACCCGAAGTGATGCAGGTCTTAGACGTTTACCACTTTGGGTAGCAAGGGTATGGTGCTGACATTTTGAGAAACATAATCACCGGGATTTGAACCCTCGATCATAGGTTTCTGGCACGCCTACGGGAGGCAACTCTATAGAGCGAACTGCGACGCCTGTGACGACTGGGACACCCGTGACACCGAAAATTGCTGTGAAGGATTTTTATGAAAATGTGATTCTTTTGAGCACCTACGATTTAAACATGATAATATTCCGCATCCTACAAGGCAACAATGACATTGTTGACTTGGCCACCATTTGCAGAACGTTCATTTCGAAGACCTACGACACGTGTTATTTTCAGTCCGTTTGCCCTTGGAGTTAGGTTGATTTGTGTAAAGAATGTGGATCTGACAAGTCGTTCCTTGTGCTCCGCGTTCGTTGCTTGAGTTGTCGTCTGCGCAGAATGACCTTGACTATTGTTTGACAGAAGGGTACCGGAAGTCATTAGCACGATGACCACAAGGATCACGACCACTATAGCCACAGTCACAGATCCGCACATCACATGGCGCATGCGCTTCTTCTTTTGTCGTTTCGTATGCAAACTTTGTTCAATCTCTGATAACTGAAAAATTAAAAGTGAAATAAATAATTAGGATGATTCATCACGCTTTAACCACAAGGAGACCCACAGACCCCGTCACGCCGAAGACCGGGGTTCGATTCCCCACATTGGTACAATGTGTGAAGCCAATATCTGGTGTCCCCCGAAGTAATAGTGCTGGAATGCTAAAAGCGGCGTAAAATCATTCTCACTCACTCAAAACGGTTTCCAACCGATAACAGTTCATCAGTTAAGGTGCGTCAACAAATAAACACTTCTATAACTCACAAAAAAGTGTTTATTTTGATATAGTTTATGTCAAGTATCGTAATTTCCCTTTGACACCGTTGAAGACCTATACGTAAGCTATTCATATATACAGTATATCATACAATTATGAATACAGAACTGAACAATATATATCATTCCATACCAAACACCCATAGAAGCAACTTTAACTTGGAAACATTCTTCATTAATAAACTCAATAATCGTTATAAACACACAATACCATTTAGAAAGTGGTCAAATGCAACAAATGTTATATTTGGGATGACACTTTCTTGGTAAAGTACAGATTCTCGTACTTGTTTTGGGTTGAGTCAGCTTAATGTGGGAGGAAAGCCCAAAGTGATGCATGTCTCAGACGTTTACCACTTCGGTGAAAACTACGAGCACGGGTATGGCGCTGACAAACCTAGAAACATAATCGGGGCGAACAGGAATTTGAACCCACAATCATAGGTCTCTGGCGTGCCCAAGGGACGCAACTGGGAAGATCTGGGACATTCAATATTTCAAGAAGTTGGCTCCACTAATTTTAGTTCGTTATAACCGTAGTTCGTTATAAGCATATATACAGCATAACTACAGCAAATTTTAGGGAAAAAAAAGTAAGTTCGTTATATCCGTCAGTTCGTTATAAGCATCTAACCGTAGTTTACTGTATACACCCATGTGTGATGTGGCTATAAACAAACCAAACCAAATCAAGCAAAAAATGGCTATTCGATGGTGATGTATTTGCTACGAGTACCGTAGTTGAGTTGGACCTCAAGTCTACAATGTTTCGGCAACTGTGTTCAACCCAGTTTTTGAAAACGTTTGTAATGTTTTAAGTCAAATCCAGTTTTCATGCGCATCCTTTCTTTTGGCCGGCAGTCAATGTACAGTCATCTACGGTTATAACGAACACGCTTATAACGAACTGACGGATATAACGAACTTAGTTTTGCCTATATGCCTACAACGAACTACGGTTATAACGAACTACATTTGTGGTCCCTGAGGGTTCGTTATAACCGTAGTTTACTGTATATATGAGGCGAGTCTTTATTGAACAGTTTCTCTCTTTGCCTGCCATTTTACCAAAACATCCACTAAACAATAGGGTGTTCGACCTCTTCCTTAACATCTTTGTCAACAGACATAACACATAAATGTTACACCATTGTGCCTTATTACTTTTTTTAATATGACCACAAGATATTAGCAAACACCAGCATGGTTATATTATATATCTTAATGATCCAATATTTAAAGAGAAATATGAGTTTTATAGTTTCTTCTGGTTGTGAAAATGCAATCTTTAACTTTTGAGTGAGTGAGTGAGTATGGTTTTACGCCGCTTTTAGCAATATTCCAGCAATATCACGGCTTCACACATTGTACCCATGTCTGGAATCGAACCCGGGTCTTCGGCGTAACGAGCCAACGCTTTAACCACTAGGCTACCCGACCGCCCCTTAACTTTTGAGAGCCAGAGGGAAATAATAATCCAGATGGATTTTGTAAATGTCGTTAGATATCATATTACTTCTTGAATTGCGATATACAAATGTTGCCCAACAACATATTAATATATTTTTATAAAATCTAATAACAAGAAATCACGATCTGTTTTGATTAAATGTGTTCTTGCATTTGTTTTTAGTGAAAGAATTTTTTTACCTGTTTGTTTAACATAAGGAAATATCTACACTATCATCTAGTCTCTGCAATGAACATATTCTGAAGAAACGAACTTATCGCAATAAAATGGAATAAAAAAGAGCCCAGAGACTCTCTTCATTGAAACAGAAGTAATCTCGACTTTATTTGACCGGGGTTATAATGGTGCACTTTGAGCTTGATATCTGGCATGGAAAATGCGCCATACAAATGAATTATTATTATTATTATTATTAACAGATTAAAAAAAAAATGCAGCAAAGAGGCACAGAGGTGATCCTGGCACAGTCAGGCTGGTTAGGCTCATCATCAACTCAGGGCCCTTGCCCCCTCTACACGCAGCCCAGTCAGCGAATGGGACTTGTCCCAGGAAGCGCTGCCTGGACAAACCCACCCAGAACTTTTCGGAGAATGTGAAGACTCCCCAACACTGCAGCCTTCTGCATTACCCAGATTGTCAGAAGGGCCGTATTCCTGGTAGCAAACCCGGGTACTCTCACAATGTCAGTCAACAGATGGGGGATACCAAACCTAAGGCACGGAGAACAATGGGGAGTCCGACAACTTGGTACTTGGGATGCAAGCTTGACATTTCGAAAGCGAGGTCTGCATATTTGCCATTTTTTTCCTCACTCAATCTTGTCAATTACATTACTGGCAAAAGGGACAGAAAATTCAATGATATAAATGATTTCATTGGATTTATCAAAAAGGACAAGATCAGGTTTGTTGGCCTGGATATGTCAGAGGCTGTATACGGGCCTATTCCAAAGGATTTTGTATTTATCATTTTCCATGACGCCCTTTACATATTCCGGGTCGTACCATGGATGGAAATCTGTGTCAAAACCACAAACATGGCGGAGACGGTAATAAAATGATCGAATTATTATTATTATTATTATTATTATTATTATCATCATCATCATTATGATGATGATGATGATGATGATGATGATGATGATGTATGAAGTACTTACCACGTAACCATGCACCCCTGATGCGCTGATAACACTGATGTTGGCGGACTCAATCGAATAGTCGACGCTTCTTGAGCGCGGAAAGGATGGACAGGAAGTGGCGTTACGAGGTATGTTCACTACGTCATCATAAGCCGGGGGTGGGTCCGAGTTATTTCTCTTCAGCTGCGGTGACCTTGAACTTCTATAAGCTTTGTCAGTCTGTATGTGGGGAATCGGCGACGAACGTAGCAGTGAAAAATCGTTATGTTCATGGGAGAGACAAATCATGACGTCATCTTCCCGAGGAGTCACAGGGGCAACACGCGACGGTGTTGGAGACATCTTGAAACTTCTCGGCGAGGCCTCTAGTTTTCTGGACCGAGGGGTGGTGGGTGACGGATTTCGGGAATCTCTTTGAACGTCGAACGCCAAACTACCGCAAAGAACGCTCGTCATTGCTTCTTCATACGACGGTGGAACAATGGCGGATGATGTGTCCGAGCACATGGGGAACGTTGAGTCGGAGCCATTTAGCGCATTGAGGGGCATGAGACCAAATGCGTCGCTGCTCACACGGGACGACCCCGAGATGACTGGCGTCATGAACATGGTGATCTGGAAAAAAAAAGAAGTTCATGACGTCTTCAAGTATGTCCCATCCAGATTTTTTCCAGTCATGAAGCTATTACATATAGGTACATTGTAAATGGAAAGGTTCATATTAAATGTTATTAAAATAATAGCAGCATGCTTCGACCATCGTATTATCACAAAACCAAAGTACATTTTAGAATTAATGTAAGACCGCTGTATAATGAAACGTCGTTGACTCGAACACCGTTAACTCGATATGGTATTTACGACGACGTCATGGTTTCTGCAGAATCCTGGGTCAAAGCACGGGCTATTAAAATATATAAGATTGTCTCGCGGACTTCGAGTTCACGAGATTTACGTATTATACGATTTACGGCATACGTAAATGAATAGTAATACCTATATGCTTATAAACAATCTCCAAATTTGTCCTGTAGTAAGACATAAGCTCCAGCTTCCATGAATACGAATCATTCACAGACAAAAGGGTCACCCACTCCCTGAACGCCCACGTCCAAACGTAATGCGGTCGTACTTGCTTTCTTACACTGCGTCTGGATTCCAGTAAAACTTGCTGACAGAGGTATGTTTCGACGGATAATCGGAACTGGTTATTTTCCTTGCTAATGACGTTTTATATTGTAACGTAATGCTTATGCCGATTTCGTGAATCCAAAAACTGCTGTCAGCTGCGGAAAATATAATTCGCTGTTATATGCTATCATATGCTATCTCTGGTCACAAAAGGCCATGGCCGCGTTATAACACGAGCGAGATATCGATTTTATGGGTTTCCTTAAACATTGTTTTATCTCCAAACAAGCGGTATCTTGACATTTCAGGTTTCCTTGAAAACAAGACCCCTTCATAGCAAATACAGCATCTGGTGCAATACCAACATTATCCCCACTGACGTCTTTGGAAGACGTCCACACCTTCTCGACGGTGACACACTGTGGCAACCATTGAAAGGGGCTAAGGATGCCTACATCCTGGTTGGTGTAAATTACAGTCCTATGATGGAAACTCATTGGATTAGTCCCAGACAAAAGAACGTGTTTAGTGATATTGATAAAACAACGATGATTATCATACTTCCATGTCAGAATGATGAGATCTAATTGGTCCTTGTGAGAATAAATTCCTTATACCCGCTTACAAGTTAGAAAGCCGCACGCTCTTTCCGAATCAATGAAAGTCACGTAGCAGCACAAGCTTACCTCCGCTCAATCGAACAGCTGTTTTCTATCAATTTTGATTGTGTTATAGTTCTTTCACAATGTCATATTTAAACATAATCCCATGTACCTACCCCTCGTGGTCCTGCTACAACTTATATTGTATTTTGGCTATAAATAAGGAATTATATATAGAAATACAGTAATCTACGGTTATAACGAACCCAAAGGGACCACTAATTTTAGTTCGTTATAACCGTAGTTCGTTATAGGCATATATACAGCATAACTACAGCAAATTCTAGGGACAAAAAAGTAAGTTCGTTATATCCGTCAGTTCGTTATAAGCGTGTTCGTTATAACCGTAGTTAACTGTAGGTTCTAAAGGGGTTAATCCTTTGCAGTATTGCTACGGTGTTCAATCGCTGTCGTTGTATAAAGAAATCGCAGAACGTATAACCCCTTTATCTCGAACACAAGGGACAGCCTCTCCTGTTCGATATGTCGTGTGATTCGAGATACAGATACAAACATAAACCAATAGTATCAATTCGTTATTATCACCGTTAATTCCTATGATGTTTTCATCCACCTAACGACCGACCAGCATTTAACATATAACAAATTCACAAACGGAAAAAGTCAGTGATCGTAAAACGCTTTTTGTAACACACTAATTTGAAACACGTACCTAGTAGACAGCCAGTAGGATCAAATCTAAGAGACGACGAAGATGTAAACTATTTTTTTCTGACATATTACCTATGATCTTAATATTTATAGAGTGAATTGATATACACTTGAGGGATAAACCCACGAATAACGAATAACCAGTCATGATATTAATTCACTAGCGAGCGATCATTGACACTTGGCACTCCCGTCGTGCGTGTTGAGACGTGGCGTAATTCGTTTCTGAAGCGTCAAAGAGATATCTGTGAAATGTCATGTCATGAGGTTGTAATAACGTCTTATGTCGTACATCGTGACATTCCAGTTGATTGGAACACGGTTATTGTTTTGTACAGATAAGGAGTGAGTGAGTATGGTTTTACGCCGCTTTTAGCAATTTTCCAGCAATATCACGGCTGGGGACACCAGAAATTGGCTTCACACATTGTACCCATGTCGGGAATCGAACCCGGGTCTTCGGCGTGACGAGCGAACGCTTCAACCACTAGGCTACCCGACCGTCCCTACAGATAAGGAAAAGACTTGGATTAGAGAAGCGTATCAGGTTTTATCCCTGATTTGAAGATGACGTACGGAGATCATTACACGGCGACCAATGGGTTCGGGTGGTCAGGCTCGCTGACTTGGTTGATGAATGTCATCGTGCGTGTAGATCGATGCTCATGATGTCAATCACTGGATTGTCCCGTCCAGTTGTGATTATATATATACCGCCTTCATATAGCTGGAATATTGCTGAGTGTACCGTTAAACATACAAGCATACAAACAAAGTGTGTTTAACGCTATGCTAAACATTATTCCAGCTTTCATCCTGTTTGTTTTACTCGGCGGTCAACAGTATTTCAGTCATACAATGAGGGATAAAAATTCCAACTGTATCATAAACATGAGTTTCTGCATCCCTATCGAATAGTAGTGAGTGAGTGAGTATGGTTTTACGCCGCTTTTAGCAATATTCCAGCAATATCACGGCGGGGGACACCCGAAATGGGCTTCACACAATTTACCCATGTCGGGAATCGAACCCGGGTCTTCGGCGTGACGAGCGAACGCTTTAACCACAAGGCTACCCGACCGACCCTATCTATCGAATAGTAATGATACCAGGTGTTCGCAAAATGGTGACCCCATTCTGCCCAGACTGTGACACCCGTCACAAACTCATGCAAGGACAAGTCAATTGTTTACTTGAAAATATCACGGAAACATATGATACAAGCCAAAATAGTCACATTTGGAAATGTCCCTACATGTCTACCATAAATATACCTTTTGGGAGTTTTACTGAGGCCATGCAAACTTTAACTTTGATCTTGTTTGTTGTGTTAGTCAGCAGTCAACAAACGTTCAGTCATTCCACGACGGATCATAATCGAATCTGGGTCAGTGGTTGAATTGAATAAAAAGCTACAAAACCATTTCCATGACCATAAGAAGCCTCTGCTTATAGCGGAGTCAATTGTACGATTCAGACTGTATTAAGAGCATACGTCCAAGAAACACATTCAAATAGTGATGACCAGGTGTTCGCGAAAAATAGCCTACTCTGCCCAACGATGGCTCCCGTCACAAACACATGCAGAGGCAAGCCAATTTTCCATCCTAAAAACACAGGAAATGCACCAAACATCAATCAAATCCGGTTGCACTGGTGGCTTATTCCTGGTGTAAAATAACGTACTACTTGTGTTTGAATTAAACCCAACTTTTGAAAATTAAATATATGACAAAAATCGGAAAGGTTTAACATTCGTAATATCTTTTAATTTGCTTCAACATGTCGGGATAATAGTGGTCAAACTACCAACGCATGCGATTCCCATATTCTGAACACGCTATACTCGCGTGTCAGTAGATAAATTACCTTGAAAATCGTAGGCGGGGACTACCTTCAAATGCAGTCAATATCGGCTGGATTCGACTGGGAGTGTGAGGTTTTCATTGTCGCGACCTGAATTGATCTTCTAAGCAATCAGCTCTGAATAATTGATGTACCTGTTTATCGATACAATTTCCCTCTTAGTTGACATGCCTCGGAGCTGACTCAGCATCAGCGACGTCCAAATGACAAACACTGGAAACAGTGCGGTGATTTGTAGCATTAGGAGACACGTTATGTCCAGCAGCCTCAGCCACTTTATAAGTGGGATGGATCGTGACTGTGGTTTGCTCACGGCGAATGATGAATGACGGTCATTGTAACAAATGCACGAGTTGGTTAGTTTGGGTTAACGTTGCTTTGAGGTGAGGTGAATTTGGGTTTAACGTCACGGTCAACATTATTGCTCTTCAATAGCGACGTGCATGCGCATGCAAACATGCGTGTTTGCCTGTATTAGCCCAGACTAATGGCGGTTTTATAGTGCTATCTCACTGAAATACCATGCGCAGTTTAACATGAATACCCCACCCCACAGTATATGAATCCGAGCCGACAGTCCTTGTTTTAGCCCCTTCATTCCGAGCGCCAGGCAGGGCAACAAGAGGTACCATCTTTTAACGTCTTTTGGTTAGAACCACCGACTTTCCGCTTTCCGGGCAGACGCTCTATCAACTAGGCCACAGCGGCATCAGTTTGAACAGTATTGCAGTTGAATCGTGGGCTGTCATGTTTTCGCTAGGGGCAAAGCATTTTAGACGTGTACCTCTTTGGTGTAACACATGAGCACTTGTATGGTGCTGACAAGCACAGAAGCGTCACCACAGCAAATCTGGATTCTTATCCAAATTGATACCTGGATTTCGGCACGCGTAAGGGCGGCGCCTTATACGACTGGCTGGGTGTTGCCACTACTTGACCACTTGAGAAGGGGTGGTCTGATAGACTGGGGGATTTGATCTGACCATTTGACGCCATGTGTCAATCAGTCAGCCGTTGCACTTTTCACTACCAAGGCACACGTTATGTATTGATTTGTAGTATGTGTCATATGAAAATATAATTTGCTGTAGAAAGTACATCTTTGTTCATTAGATTTCCTTAATCCTTAAATTAATTATTGATATAACTCGGTGTGACTACGTCGGTTTTAGAGAATTCATTAGGTGTGGTAATTATTAATATATAACTGGGTCGGTTGCAGCGAATCAATTAGGTGTGGTAATTATTGATGTATATACGTAACTACGTCAGTTTTAGCGAATT